GTAGCTACAGTAGGCAGATGTGAACGTGGAAGTTTTAGGTAAATGCCTCGTTTTTGTGCAAAGTGAGGACACCGTTTGCGTCTCAAAGTCGTCTAAGCGTCCTTCTAGAATAAAAAAGATGTCATAAAAAACAGAATTTTGATGGAACGCGCTTTCAGAAGCGTTTACTGCATTTTCAATGATTGTTTGAAGATTTTTGCAGAAAGGTGCCATCAATTGTTTGAAAAAAGTTTCAGTATTCTGGTTTTTTTTTCTGGGCAGACAACCATCGTCGTGAACAATCTCGAAAACATCTGAATCCCAATTTGGCTGTGATTGAATCATGACAATTACTGGACCTCAAATTGGAGCTTTTTTTCAACCCGTCCTCGTTTCAGCAACGCTCCTGTTTAGAGAGGAGTAATTTCAGCAATTATTTTTAGCTACTTTTATGCATTTACGGCAGCTGCGCGTTCCCTCTACGCGTGGTTTTGCTGACTTTACTAACTCGATGAGCTGTTAAGTTCTAAAAAAACTTCCTGCTAGTAGGCTTTTCGAAAATATTAGGCTGGAAACTAAGTTTTGCAACTGGTTTCATAACTTCACTCTCACTCAACATGGCGCACTCAAACTTTGGCATTATGTAGATTGCAATGTGAGCTACAAGTGAGCACAAATTGTCTAAATTTTGAACACGAAATAGAGAAGTGTCAGGTGTTTTTCGAAAACTAGTGAAATTTGAGAATTTTTGGGGTTTTAAGCTAAAATGAAGCTTTTGGCAGCCTAGACCATACGCGGTAATCCGGATTCGTCTACAAATTATTGTTGAAGATTGACTCCTTTGGTCTATTGAGAAAGAAACAAAATTTAGGGGCATGTCGAGATTTGACGTCCTCATAAATTCGAACGAGTCGATGTACGCAAGAGCTGCTGGAGACGACCGTCAATGATTAAAGAGTCCGAAGCTCAAATTGCGCCGAGACTTTACATAGTAAGGTTATTTGACCTGCCAAACGCGAATATCACATTCATTTGTTGGATTAACGCCTTTTTCCTTGTTTAGGGTGAGACCTCATATCGCACACCTACAGTAATCCTACAAAGAAGCCCTTATCACGCAATTTCACTATCGTTTTCGTGATCAGCATGTCGGATAACACCCCTATGCCAAGTTTCAGTCAAATCCGTCAAACTTTGAATTTTTCCCCTTCATACCATGCACATACCGTAACCCCCACTGCGACGTCCGAATCTGGTAGGACAGCAGCTGCGCTTGTAGCTTACGTAATAACCAACGCAGTGGCAAAATTTGAGTGCACCATGTTGAGTGAGAGGAAAGTTATGAGACCAGTTGCAAAACTTAGTTTCCAACCTAATAGTTTGCAAAGCTTCGAACGAAAGCAAAAGGAAACACTTGTGAAATATAAGCGGTAAAAATTCAAAAAAAAAACTTAAGTGGGGCATTCCTTGGGCGAATTTCCGGGATGTCAACCGTGGCGCATAAATCAAAATCTTGATTCTTGAAGTGACGTCCCGAGTTGATGTTGGGATTTATTCGAACCTAGCGAGTCCATATGGACTCATGTGATTTGAAAAGGTTTTTATTTTGTGAAAACAGATCTCTGTGGCCATGCAGATAAGAAATTTTTAGGAGAAATAATGGAGAGACCAATAAGTTTGAATTTGTAAGAATCAAAAATTAGAGCACACAAACCATCCAGCGCATCTTCACTCAATGCCTGAATATCACTGTAGAAGAAGGAGAAGAATCAAAAAGCGAAGAAAAACTGCATGTGAAGCTAGCGAGGTAAACGATCAATAGTAGATAGCGCTAACGCTCAAACAGGACAAGGTCACTATTGCGCAACCACTTGCTGAGTCACTTACAAGTGTTTCCTTTTGCAACAATCCCGAAAATCTGTAAAAAAATTGTCTCGCCGTGTCTACGCGCTTTTTTGCGAAAATCCTTTCAAAAGGAACGAATCTCCGTTGCGAGTCAGCAACGAATGTAAATGATGCTCTCGATATCGAGTTGGACGAAGATTTTTGCCAAAGTCGACTATAAAAAGATTTAGGATTGCCGCCAATAGCGACAAAGAAGATACTGTAAATACTGTTAATTTATTTTTCATTGTTTAATTCATGTTTGCTTCGTATCTCACAAATGCTAATGGTCAGAAGAGTACCCAATGAAGATTGACAGACAAGGTATCACAACCTCGATCCAATCACCTTAACACCAGTTTATCTTCGGTTAACAACGACTTTGCATTTACAAATCAACAATTCTGAAGGGCTTGAATACCAATGGATGAGTGAGGTCGAGGATTTTCTCCGTATTCTGCTGTGAGGGCGACAAGTCTCTGGTTCACTAGAGTTCTCTCCCCACAATTTTCTGTGGGTAGGATATCCAACAAGCACTCTGAGCTGGGAATTACAAGTAGTCTTCTGCTTGCTAAAAATTCTCTGAAGGATCTATCCACAAGCATCCTGAGAAGCAGTTCGAAGATTGAAAAGTGTTCTGGAGATACTTCACATGCACAGTATCTACATTACTGTTGTTTTAGTTATATTTAATAAAGTTTGGTTGCTCAAGTCTGAGGTATCATATAGCGTGTTAACCCCAAATCACCCTCACTACCATCCCTGTGTACAAAGAAAATAGAGAATAGAGAAAATAGAGTTATAGAGAAATCAAACGAGGGCAAGGGTGTTGGGTTGATGATGAATTGCACAGAGCAAACGGATGCAAATCAATTTTCGAAGACACAGAAGTCTCAAGCAATAAGATATGTCATTTGACATGTTTCCCTGCCACCTAAATCTACCTAAATCTCCACCTAATTGTTGAAGTTTGAACTTGAGATAAATGTAAGCCGTAAATGTCATCTAGAATTAAAAATATGTAAAACACATTAGGAGAAATAATAAATTTGAGAAGAACATAAAAGAACCGCAGCCAAAAAGAGCCGAACCCAGATTCCTCATCATTTGTGAGTTCGAGACCAGCCACTACACCACGCGGCCACGTTTGGATTAGCCATGCATCCCAAGACATGCATGGGCCAAATTTCATGGAGCTACAACTTGCTTCAGATGAAGCTTCCCTGCTAAGGATAAAAGTCGATATTAACCTGCCCCATCTCTCACGTTCTCAGTTTGAGTATGTATCACATCTCAATCCGCCACTTCGACTTGGTACCCTTGTTAGGAGTTGGTCCATACCTCAAACATAAATTGAGTGATGTAGCACTTTATTTTACGAGGAGACTGTTCGCGGACTGCTGAACCTCTTTATCTTGTATATAAAGCTGAATGTCTGTGCGGCAGTGGTCCTATAGGGAAACTGATAACCTGTCCCAACGCGTAACGCACGCGGCAAATCTCCCTGCCCCTGTTTTTGCTTAGGCAAGAGCCGCAGAGGGGTATCTCGCGCGCGGCAGTGGTCCTATAAGGAAAGCATTACGGTCGTGGGAAATTTTCATACCACACGAATTGCCTTTATCGTGGGGATTGAGTACGATATTTTTGAAACAGCACTTTAGGTAATTTTCTGCCAAGGTTTCAGGCAGGTTCATGATTTTTACCTTCTGCCACGTACCTACCGTAACCTGCGAAAAGGTCTCAAAACGCAACGAAAGTGTTTTAGACGTAGTCAAAAGGTCGAATCTCTCTAGACCGAGTTTCAGCCAAAACGAGATTTCGCCCCTCTGCAGTATACCTACCATAACTCAGTGAAATCGCCTCAATATGCCGAAGGAGTATGATATTCGTAATCAGCATGTCAATTAGCCCCCCTCAAAGTTTCAGCGAAATCCATGATTTTAGCTTCTTATGTGTACCCAACGTAAACCCAGAAAATGGCGCTATATCGCGCGAAATGACTACGATATTTGTCATCAGCGGCTTTAATAGTCCCCATGTACCGACTTTGAGTAAGATCCATCATAAAAATATTTTGGGGCCGGATATTCTAATAGCGGCCAGTTTTCAAAATTATCCTTACTTTTACCGGTTTTATTGTTTTTTTTGCAAAGTTTGAGCTACGGGGCTGGGGTTGTTGAGGGAGGTAGATGGGCAGGCTAATTACTAACGCAACGGTAATAGGGAGTTGCATGAAGAAGTGGGCACAATGAAAGGTTCTACAGGGGTAGGGATAAAACCTTAATCATAGCATTGACAGGGCCGGCGGAGCCGGGTACGCCAGCTAGTCGTAAATAAGATGTAGTTCTTTCACATAATGTTCGGGCTTAAAGGCAGTACCTCGGCAGAATGCCCGTGACAAAACAAGGTCGCAGGGTAGGAGCCCCCATATGGAACCTATCGGCCAAAGTCCGATCCTTCTCTGCCACTTCTAATCCCCGAAATCTTAACGCAGAAGCAGCGCTCATCTCCTGTCCTCTCTGAACCCGCCACCTCATGGACGATTGCGAAGCCCGTCATGGCGAAGACGCAGAGTCGTTGCGGGACCTCATGCTTATAGCATTGCGGCTGGCGCTGTGACCGCGGAAGTCACTTGTCCATGGGGTGGGCGGGTTCCGAGAGGACAGGAGATAAGCGCTGCTTTCGCTTTGAAATTTCGGGAGTTAGAAGTGGCAGAGAAAGATCGAACTTTGACCCATAGGTTCCATATGGGGGCTCCTACCCTGTGACCTTGTTTTGTCACGGGTCTCATTCTGCCGATGTACTGCCTTTAAAGAGAAAAAGAGCTTACCTTATAGCAGCTCAGAAGGTTTGAGGGATTTTGTTAGCTGAAGAAGTATTGAGCTATATAGTTGTCGAAAGCGCATCACCAATACTAACTGAACGATATCCGATATTGGGAACATGAAATAGCTAATGCGGGAATTGATGCTATCGATTGAAGAAACTGCGAAGAATTGTAGAAGCTGCTTTAGTTCCTGCTAAAGATTTCGTAAAGGTGATGGTCACTTTATGTGATGAGACAAGATTTTTTGCTCAAATCATTACCTTTTCTGAGATTTCAAGTTTCACCCATTCTACCATTAATTATGACTTACAGCCTGGTTCACATAAAGAGTCATCACATCCTTCTCTTCCTCCAGGTGGAGCACATGAAATGTCTGGCACCCAAAAATTTGCTGAACCTGTGTCGAGCACAACCTAAACGTTTACAATATATGCTGCGCCGTCATCTTGTTTACCTTACTTGGAAAGCTCTTCCCGGTGTCCCAACGCTGATGTTTCCAACGCAGTCTACGTCAATGAAGTCATTGACCTGAAATTAAAATCTCTCTTTTGCAGAATTATTCTACACCAGTTATTTCTCCTGCTCAATCTATATGTAAGAATCAAATCGTTGTAATGCAGGTTCCAAGAACAAATTTCCATTCTTGTACCGGGCCCTTTAAACGTTGCACATTAACATTTCCGAGCGGAGCAGCTATCATCAGTGCCCAGGAAGAAGTGCGTCGAGTTGTTCATCCTTTTCCCAACAAATGTGTTCTACGTTATTTGTAAAAATAGAACATATTTGACCTCGAAGACGTGCTGCCTTGCTCCCTCATAAATTTCTACGTGACTGACCTGCTTCAACATGTGGTTTCACAAGGGCGCAAAGTTCTAAAATATTGTCAAGATAAACAAACGGCTTGTTTAAAGCATACAGTCGATCACGTTACGCCCAAGTAAGATTAGACGTAATCAATATTTCTGCGAAGAGCATTATGTGAAGAACTGCCAAAACGTAAGCGAAGCAAGCTTCTCATTTTCCCGACTCAGTTGGCTACAAGGATTTCGCGGGCCAACATCTATTCAAAGATTGTTGGTCGAAGTGGCTTTTGGACGAAACCTGCACAGTTATGAAGAGTACTGAATTCGATTTCGCTACATCTGGTATCTGCCAAACGGCCTCGGATGCTAAACATGAGCGCTTTTTAAATTGAAAAATACGGAGAATGTAATTAAACTATTGTTTCTGGTTTCTAAAGTGCTCAAACAGTTGTGCCGAGAATGCGTATGTTAAACAGAACATATTCATTGCGTAAAGTGCTCTGAAATCCAAAACTGAACTGTTTGAGCTGTTTAGAAGATCTTGCTCCAGTTGCGCATTCAATTTTTCAAGAAACGCTCATATTTGGAGCCCAGAGACGCTTGGTAGAGATCGAAAACAGATTTGGAATTGACGTTCATGCTGTGCTTTATAGAATAGTATAGACTTCACTTGGTAAGACCACTTCGACTAACAATGATAAGACTTCCTTTGTCATTGGGGCTAAGTAACGCTGATTACGAGATACCCCCCGTTTATAAATTTATCTGTCTCGTTCATCGATTTCACGTATTGCTTTAAACTTAGAGTTGGGAGTGTTCATCCAGGTAGTTCTAACAGAAATTGTTTAGTGATGTTGTTTCTCCTGTTCACTTTTACTTAAGCCTATGATCCCGTAAAAAATGGGAATTAAACTGACTTTGATTTGGGTTCATGTTATGAAACAAACTGTAACTCTTTTCCCATTTTAGAGCCGCAAAAAACGCCGGGGTACAAGTCTACTGTAGTCTCTACATGTCTGAGCCATGGAACTCCTTCAAGAAATTCGCCCGGTCCGTGAGGCTACATGGGGCGTTCTCGGGACCGAAAGGGATAATTGTCGAAGAAAAGCGACCGTACGTCTGCTGGAAAGCAAGCAGAGCCGAGAAATGGATTTCTTGTTTCCACTCAAAGCTTCCATCCCTAATTCCCGGGTGGGTACGAGTGAGGCGGGTTTGGAGTTGGCTCTAACAGACAAGGCTTGATCGTTCTCGCGGGAGATTTCAGCTCAACAGGCTATCTCTTGCGAGTGCAACTATTAAACACATTGATTTTATGGAAAACTCCTTTAATCTTGGAACAGCCACTGGTAAAGCTTTATCGGTGCAAGGTTTAAAGGGCAATCTAGGCTGCCAAAAGCGAAATCTGTGTTTACAACGCACGGACACTCGCATCGGATGCATCCATGGAATATAATTTGGAAATGAAGGTCAAATTCGTTATCATTGGACCAAGGGAGACAAAGGGATACCACCCACTGAGAGCCATGCTTGATATTAGAGAAGAACTATTTCTAAGAAAGTTGACATTAGGATCGTTGGCATGTGTGATCTTTGTCAACATGAACTTTGAAATATCGATTCTTTCAAGCAACCAACAACGCGATCACGAATATATGATGGTGACCAATCCCTATTGACTCTTCATTACGTATGCCCCAACGTCACCTTCGCCGAAGACGAGCTCGAGCTTATATGGATTTGGACGAGGTCTACGGTCAAAAACACGCAAGACTGGACTCAGTCGAAGATCGGAGCTAAAAGGTCACTTGCGCCTGCGGAACATCACATCGGGACCCATGAACTACGAAAAGGAGAAAAACTTTCCGAGTTTATCATGACCACGAGGCCTACCCTTGAGACTCGTAGTTTCAGAATCCCCTTTTCGACGATAGGCTTGAAATCTCAGTTGGAGAGTACCATAACAAGCTTGACCAAATAGTTCTCAACAGGAGGTATGGCCTGAGGGATGGCGTTGTTGCTCCGAAGTTTTTAACGGGGTAAGAACCATCGCCTCCTAGTGCCACGTTCAACTTTTCACGGAATGAGCCGTTAAGTTCAGGTCACACCGTTTCATGACTACTATCATCTGAAGTATGTTTCCTTCAATATCCCGCTTTTGACGAGATACCGTGATTGATAACATCGACGAAGAATGCGAACGGATCATCCAGCATCTCCAAAATTGCGCTAAGGAAACCTACCAAGATCTACAAAAAACGTCATATCGAAGGCTCTGAAGTTGATACAATAACGCGGACGAGCTCGAGCCCACTGGCAACTACTTACGAGCTTGCGGAGCGAAGTTAAGGAGCGATAAAAAAAGATAAGGAGAAAAGGGTAACAATATTGGTTGACGCCAGGGAGGTTGGAAAAAGTATACGCAATACCCGATAAAGCTTTGTCAAATTCAGGACTAGGATGACGCACTTCGCCGCCGTGACAAACCTACGCCTGCTCCCCAAACGTCAGTGGAGAAAGGGATTCACCGCTGTTCGGATCCCTTTGAAATCTTTCCTTCCTCCCAAGATTCATGCTATCACATGAAGAATTCTACAGTGCCCGACCCGACAGAATCAAGACAGAACATCTGAAGAATTCTTCGCCAGTTCTCATCAAGACTTTGGCAGGAGTATTCACGCAATACCTGAAGAAAGGTAAGATTCTGAGTCAATAGAAAAAAGACTGTGTCGCCTTTGGCAGCTAACACACAAATTGTCTGTTGTCCGTGATATACTCTTTACGCGCTTCATTCTCAGCAGGATCGGAAGAGAGGTAGGTAAGGACAACATATGAGCAGCTGGGCTCCGAAGAGGATTAAATACGATAGAACACAAACAGTGTCCTTATTGGAGTATCATCAGAGTACAGGATGCCGCTCTATCAGACTTATCGAATTGAAAAAAGGCCTTTAACTCGGTTGAGCCGTTGTCTCCTTGAGTAATCAGAATGTTGTCACTAGCATCAAAATCATTAGTGGGCCAGCAACGCAGCAAGCATCACATCATTATACGAGGCCATTATCATCTACGTGTAGGTGTGTATGACAAGGCGTTACTATGTCTCAAAGCTGTTTAGCGCCGCTCTTTAGAACTTCCTGCGCACGTCGGGTTGGGACGAAATAGAAGTGAAAATCGATGGCCTGCAACTAGATCACTTCGCTATGCTGATGAAATCTTATTGATAACACCCAGCACAGTGCAGGCGGAATGATCGAACGGCTGAATCCATAGAAGCTTTGTTTATGAGGAATGGAAAAGTGCTTGATGCTCCCTTCATTCTTGGGGGGACGAAAATCATCGAATGCTCGAGCTATACTTACCATAATTGAGAAATCACTAAAAAAACGATATTCAGCTCCGGAAGCAGGAGGAAAGTGCAGCATGGGAAACAAGGCAGTTGAGGACGAGGCAATTGGGGACGTAGGAAGAAAACCAAAAAAACTCGATTCCGAGCTCATCTCTTCAACTAGGCGATTCTACCTGCTTTAAGCTTTGGCAGCACGGTTCTATTAGGAAGCAGGGCGAAATGCGTGTTGATTAGGTGATGTTAGGAGTGTCCCGGCTTACGCAAGTGAGAGGAATACGAAGTTGCCCTACACGAAAGATCTGGGCCGGTAGTAATCCCCCCGACCTGGCGGCAGGTCTCGTCGGCAGGTTGCTGGCACCTTTCCGCGAGGTGGCCAGAAACTAAGAACCGAAATATAGGCCGTCCCAGGCCTTTTTTCAAAAAATTTTCTCGATAAAGTTGCCGCCTCGACTCTGTAGAAAACTTCATAAAAAACTGCGGCTCCAGAACTCCTCCTTTAGTAAAATATCTGGAATTCCAGGAGGAGCTGCCGGCAACTTCGCGAGGTCAGTTGCCGGCAACCTGCCGGCAAGTTGGCGGAATCCGCGAGATGGCAGCTGCCGGCAGGTCAGAGAGCACGGGAAATAGCGTGCTCTTTTGAGAGAGGGAGCTGCCGGCATCTCGACGTGCCCCTACCACGTCGAGGTGCTGGCACCTTTGCCGACGGCGTCTGCGAGTTTGCGAATTGCGGCGATATCACACAATTTACGTCAGGCGAAAAAATCAAAAATTTTACTTTTCATCAAAAAACTATCATTTTTCTCATTATACGAGTTTTTCTTTTTTAAAACGACGATTTTCTTACAGAGAAAAAATTCAGTAATGCCTTAAAATCATAAAAAACATCATCTTGATTGGCAATCCCTTACAAATCCCGTTTGCACCGATTTCGCCTCTATCTCGCTCATATCAATCAGCTGTTCTTTCAGGTCAAAGTCTCTCACGCAATGTATCGATCCCTCCTACAGGCAGCCATTTACCAGCGCGTTCCTCCTACTGCTGGTGCAAACGGCAATGGCTGACCGAATGGTCGAATGGTTAACGTGGTGGCACTTCAAGTTAACGCACATAGGTTCGACCGGGCGCGAGGGAGCACTTTTGCGGCTGTCTGCGTCATCAAAATTTAGTGTGCGAAATGATTGTGTGCTAAGGTTACATAAGATTGTTAAGTCCTACAATCACTCCTCGAGCTGCCGGCGGAGTTGGCATCTTTCCGCGATGTGTGCCAACTTGCCGGCATCTTTGATGCCACCAGGTAGGGTAGATTACTACCGGCCCTGGTATAGTGTGGACCCCTGCCACCTTTTCATATGTGCCTCCGCGCCGCGCACGCAGCATGCCTTTAGTGCGCTTTTCATCCCGCCTCTAATGGTTTTTATGCGTTTTTCTATCTTTACTAACTTTGTTTTTCTGTAATCTGTTTATTGTAGAGTTAAGCGACCCACGACAGATGATGTCTAAAGGCTTTTACAAGCCTTAGAGGTTTCGAGGAGCATTTATCTCAGTAAGTTCTAGTTTTCCCCTCGGTAGTGAAGAGCGCATTTTAGGGAGAGCTATCTGCAAAGGTTTCTATCACGGACCTAGCGCATCTCTTCGAATGACTTTGTTTTGTATAAGTGCTTTTAGTTCCTTTTCGACATTGAAGCGGCATAGAAGCTTCTTCTGGTGCAGCTACGCTCTCGAGCTTACACTTCTCAGGTCTATTATGACTACCGAAGGAAAACGTTTCAGAAATGCTCCTCCTCTGTAACTTCTATGATTTTCACCCCACACTAGTAGTATCATACAATTATTCATGAGATTGACTAGAAACTAAGTGATAGTGAAAGTTGTTATAGTTCTCTTTTGCTTATCTTTTGCTTAGGCTTTTCTCGAGCTGAGATTGAAGGGTTTCAAGTAAGATGAGAAGCGTCAACAGAGCGCGCGGAGGTACCTATGGGGAGATGGCCGGGGCCCCCACTATATGCTATCGCATACGCTAATAGCACAAGTTAAGATAAACCGAACATGATATGCATTTTGACGGAGTGGACGAGTTCTGTAGCAAACCGGATACCCTGACTTGAACGCAAGGTGGAAGATCGACGAAGCGATGGTCAGTTATGTTCACGAATTTTTTTAATGAAGTGTTTGGAGGATTCATACTACTGGCGTGGTACGCAAACACTGATCAACAACCGCGTCAGGGAGGAACCATTGGTATTTGCTTGTGCAGACTATGTAGATATAGATAAACTACCCTAAAATCCGTCATATAAGATCGGCTCGCAGTAAAGACCGCCTCGCCGATAAGACCGCAAAAGTGCTCTCAGTTAAGTCCGCTTTCGTGACAGCCTCGCGCGCCTCGCGCGCCGCCAAGTCCCGCGGATAAGTCCGCCTTATTTTTTTCACATGAAAACAAGAAGGATGCGCAATTGCGCTGCCTTTTTTGCTCTCAGAATGAACCGAAGCAACAGATCTTTATTCAGGTAGCATTCCATGTTCATAACAAACATTCATGGCAACAACTTGACCAAAAGAACGACCATCATTATCGTTATTATCAGCAACAATCAAAGCGTCGAAATCCTCGTTCATGCCTTCTATTATTGATTCGTCATCGAGAGCCTTGGTGAAACTGTTCGCAATGGTTTCTTCGCCTCAGAGATAAGTTCTTTCTCTTCATAAAGCCTTTGCACCACATCGCCGATGCCCTGAAGTCCTGGTGGCCAGATTCCCGCGCTAGCTGCAATGCCTTCTCGCGAATGTCTTTGACAAGCACTGCTCGGCTTCCTTCTCGCGTCTGCACAATCCATGCATAGAGAGCTTCCTCTATTTCCTCCACCTTTGGCTTCCCATGACGGTTGGCGCGTCTCCTCAGTGGCATATCCTCCAGATTTTCTTTATCGGCCTTCCATCTTCTAACCAGACCATCAGAGACTTCGTAGCGAACAGCGGCAGCCGATGTTCCATGTTCCAAGGCATATTGCACCACGTTAAGCTTAAAAAGCGCGGTGTAGGACTTCCTTCTGATAGCCATTGAGATGCGAGACACCTGAAAAGCTTAAGTCAAAGCATGTGAGACTATGCTGGAAATATAGGGCCCCGCGTGATTGTGAACTTCGCTGAGTTACCGGTCATTGCACACTGGAATCACGCGGAGTCCTATAAATTTGCGCTGGTCATCGAAAGGTTTACTCTTTTATACAAGGAAAAGCAGGCGGCATCAAATTTGACTACACTATCTTTTGTCTTGGATGTACAGGCTTAATGAAACAACAATTGAGGAAAATAACAAGGAAGCCTAATGCTTTGCTAAGGTTGAGCATTCTCAGACTGTCACTCTTCCGTTCAAGAAAGCATTTGACAAAAGCCGTATGGCATGGGTCAACAGAGACTACATTCAGAACATGAAAACAATAGAGGAAGCAAAAGTGTAGGAGTCAGGTTCAAGGGTTGTAGCCTGTACGGGTTTGAGAGATGTAGTGAAAACATTGTCGCCTCCAAAACGATAAGATGAATGATAAGTTGAGATGATTGCAATGATGCAATGATGAAACCTATTATGATTCTTTTCATCGGCAGAAATCGCTTAATTTCATACAGGTGTCATATATAGGAAAAGAACTCACCTATGCAGCGTACGCGATGAAGAATCCGCGACGACCACCAAGTAGACTGTACGACTTGTCGAATCCTTGGGCTCTTTCTTTCAGGCGATATCGCGGCCTCGTTTAAATCTACACTGGCAAGCCACGCGAGCGGTCGCGCGCGTCTGTGCTCCTAGGTCGCGCTTGCTCATGCTCAGGACAGACGGACGTATCTGCGAGACGATTTAGGCGGACTTATCTGTGACACCCTTTGCGGCGTTTTTCCATCGATTTTCCTGCCAAAACTGCAGATAAGTCCGCTCTTATATGACGGATTTTAGGGTATATAGATACAGATGATATAGATGATACAGGTGATACACTTGAAACAATCAGAAAAAAGGCTGTTTGGTGGTTAAAGTGTACGTAATTATTAACGCCAGATTTTCAGAGGCTATCTCAAATCCTACGATCTATTAGGTTGGAAAGTAACTTTCGCATTCTTCCATAACTTCACTCTTTTTGGACGAGACGCACACCACCTTCGGCACTACGTAAAACGTAATGTGTGCATTGCGCACAAACTGTTTAATTCTTCCAAGCATTTCTCGAAAACCAGTAAATTTCGAGGATTTTTGGTGTTATTAGCCAAAATGAAACCGTGGGCAAGCTAAGCTAGACTATGCACAATGATCCGAATTTGTGCAAAAATCATTGTTAGAGTTTGATTTCTTTGGCTCAGTAAGAAACAAATAAAATCTAAAGACCAGTAGAGATGGCGCGCTCACAAAGTCGAAGATTCGCTACACGCAAGGCTGTTGGAAACAATGTCAAAGAAGTCAGAACAACAAGCGCCGATATCTCACGAGGCTGACTCGCCAGATACGACTATCATTTTCGTTGAATCAACTGATCTTTTCCTTTAGGAATGACCCTATACCATGAGTTTTAGATAATCTCATAAAAAATTCTTATTATGCAATTTAAATATCGTTTTCGTGATCAAATTTCATACAATTCCCCTATGCCAAGTTTCAGCCAAATCTAATGTATATAGCTGGATGTCTGTTTGGGTGTTCGTACGTCTGTATGTATGCATGCAATTATGTGCGGAATAGAAATTCTAATTTTTAAAACAATGACCAAACTTTGCACACATACAGTCGGGGGGGGGGGGCGTGTTGTATGCAACTTTTTATTACTCATCGAAATCGATTTGACTTTTTGCAAGTTTCAAGCTACGGGGCTGGGAATCGGCACAGGGGGGGGGGGGGGTAAGTGAGCATGCTGATTACAAGTACTCAGACAATCGCTGGGGGCAGGCGGGCACCGGAAAAATAGATTGCTGATTTCTCGCACCCCGCTCGCGGATTTTTCGGAAAGCAATCAGAACTTTTCGGAAGACCGCTCGCTGAGTCAGCGGATTTTTGAGAGACCGCCTGTTGAATTTTTTTCGCTCTTATCTTTTGCAGATATATTGCTGAATCTCTGAGGAATCGAGAACTCAGCAAGCGGTCTTCCGAAAAGTCCTGATTGCTTACCAAAAAATCCGCGAGCGGGGTGCGAGAAATCAGCAATCTATTTTTCCGGTGCCCGCCTGCCCCCGGCGATTGTCTGAGTATAATAACCGTTTTTGACAAGGCAGGCTGAGCTACGTTAGGAAATCGATAACTCCTCTTTGTATGTTCTGAATTCATGAAAAGGTTGAATACGGATTAGACTTGAACCAGTGGTAGACCGAGGGAAGAACGAGATGCCCCTCTTCCCGGGAAGGAATGGCAAAATTTTGAAAGTCATTTACATGAGTTATAAAAATTTGCAAGTCTTGCTTATACTTGCAGAAGATTTTTTGAAATTTTTAAGATATTCAGAACAGCCTTTGAAAGACGAGATTCTGCGACCCCCATGCCTTAGAATAATTAGAAAGCAGTGGCGTACCGAGGGGGGGGGGAGGCGGGGGGGGGGGCGGGGGGGGGCGCCCCCCCCCCGAGAACGGGTCGCAAAATTTTTGAAAGTTACTTACATGAGAAAAATGTGCAAATGACTTGTTTACAAATGACTTTTTTTTGTAAATAATTAACATAATTTTTAAAAATTTTTAAAAATTGAAATTAGCCTTATAAAAAAATTTTTTCGGGGACGTGGCTGACGCCACGCCCCCTTTTTCCAGATTTTAAGGGTTGGGGGCCAGCAGGATTTTTGAGAAGCCCCCCTAAAAAATTTTCGGAGTGCGTGGCTAACGTCACGCACATTCATTTGAAAATTTTTTTTGCCGCGTTCCCCCCGAGCTGAAATCCTGGGTACGCCACTGTTAGAAAGCACACCAAATATTATTGAGAAATGGATGAACATTTCAAACGAGGTTCGTAATGCCATAGAAAACGGACGGTTTCTATTCAGTTTCGACTTTGCACTCACGTATTGTTGGTAACTATCAGCGAAGAGCGCTTCATCAGCTGAGTTCTTACTTCTGACCATAGGAAGTAAGAACTCAGCTGATGAAGCGCTCCTTGTCGCATCATGCGGGCTCTTAGCGATTCAATCCTCGTGACCGGCATTTGGTACACAGCTGCTGTGCTGAAATCTGCTACAGCCAGCAGAAGAAGTAGTGGGGACGCCATGGCTGAAGTATTAAAGTTATTTTGCACGGTTTAGGCTGTGCTCAGTGTTGGCAGTGCCAGCGTCTTTCCACTGGTGAGTTAGCGCCATGCAAGAGTATGGATCGCGACGTGTCTATATGTTCTCCGGCTCAACGCCTACACACGGACTACTATGGATGCTGCTTGACTTGAAAATGCGAAGTGATAAAGAAGATCAGCACTCTTCTTATAAAGCATTTATTATAGACATTTTATCGACGAGCTAAAATCGTTAGTTTTTGCTTTTTGTTCTTCGGAAGTTTTCTACTAAAGTAATAAAATCCCAATATCAAACCCTCTCATAAATAGGAAATACAATAGTCAGCTATTAACGCTGGTTGCGTGCACGAGTTCCAGGTGCGAAATCAATTCATCTGATTTCTTAGCTGGTTCGTCCATTTCAAAACACGTGGCCATCAAGGCCCGGCACAGATCAAATGGAAGCGGCTGGACTTTGTTTTTGGGACAAAAACCAAAGGATAACGTTCTTGCGGAATCCGGGGTGGAGCCCAGAAAAAATTGTGTACATGCATTACTAGCGGAGTGTGTGGAGGAAAACTGCACATACAGTGTCCAAGATTCCACGTCTGTAGTTTTAAAAGTGATCATTAAGTCAAGCATAAGCTTCAAAGACAATACACGATAAATGAGCTCCATTGTGTTTTTGCGAAAAGTGCGCCGTGGTCTATAAAAGCAAAGCCAAAACAACAAATGCTTGTTTACAGCATAGAGAGAAGCATATGACACCAAATTTGGGCTGTAGGCATAAAATATTATTTACGGAAGAATTATCTAGAAAGTTCTGGAAACTTTCAGAAAGTAATTTTCCCAAATTTAGTCCGTTTCTAGACAGCCACCATACGATCTGATATCGTATGCAGCACATATTTTTGTAAATTCACATATAGTGACCGCCAAAAAGTTGCGGACAAGTTGCTCTCCTTTTTTTGATTTTCGGATGAAAAACTAGGAGAAAAAATGATTGGATTGCATGAGGTGATAGAGCTCATCAAGACTACAACCCACACATTGCACTTTTTGGAAAACATGTACCTAAAAATTTTAGAAAATTTTTTCTAGAAAAAGTCCGAGAATGGCCGCGTCACAATATCGCGGACATTACTTCTTCGAACTCAAAAATTTCCTTTTAGGTCCTTTTGGAGCAAAACAGAAGTTTTCCGAACAGGAGCATACTATATCATAGAGCTCATCGAGGGCAACAGTCAGGTAGTGGTTACTTCCGAGAAGCGCAAGTTTGAATTTTGTTTTGGTTTTTCAAAAAAATAACTTCTATTTTTTCCTTTCAAAGCAGATTTCTTCACATGGAAACCTATTCAAGGCATCCCAACAAAGCTGTTCGGATAAAGCAGATGCTCTTTACCATCCCCTATGCATCGGACGTGTGCTGGCGAGTTTTTTGGCTGAAAATGACTCCTGACAATGCGTGCACAGGACCCTATCTGCGCCCTCACCACTGACTGTACCGCTTTGCAGGCTTGTAGCTCAGCCGTCAGGCAATCTACGAGCTTGTGCTTAGGCTCATTCGAAAGGGCGTGACGTGGCGCGTGACACCATCGTGTCATCGACACAATGGTGTGCAAATAATTTCAGTTTGAGCAATCCCAGAGATTTGACGGATGGGGTGAAAAAGTGCAGCCTTAGAGGTGACTGGAGTTAAGGCTCTTGTGAACACCAGTGGCCGTATTCATCAACGAACCTTGAGATCAAATTCTAACTTGACAGCATGCCTCAAGGTAAAATCTAACCTCAACGTAACTTTGCTATTCACAAAACAACCCTGAGGTTAAATTTACCTGGTAGTCAGCGAGTACTCACTGAGGTTTATTCGGAATATGCCATGACGTATCAGCGGTGTATGAAATCCTCTGCTGCTACTGATTTTCCAACTGCCTAGTTAATATTGCCTACATCTTGTAGGTTCACGTTACAATGTTCTGGCAGGAAAACATTCTAAAACTAAGCAATTATGTTTCAACATGATTGAACGTGGCAATTGATATACAGGGCGTCTCAAAAGTAAGTACACACTTTTTAATCGTTAATATCTCTCCTCCCACATAGTCTTTCAGTTAGTTAAGCGCCATTCAATAGAGCAGGCTTTGAACCAGATTCAAAGTATGGAGAAAAACACCTGTAGCTCTTCGTTAGTGTAGAATTATCATAGAATTTTGAAGAGGGTTTTGAACAGTTAAGGGCTACATTTTGGCCCAAAATGGGTACTCATCAAACTGAAATCTTTGTCACCAGGTCAAACAAAGTCGCTTATATGAATGTAAAGTTCAGAATTTACCTGAAGGCTTTTTTTAAAGTTATGCCAGTTTTTTAAAGTTATGCCATATTGACCGCAATAATCTTTCTACAGTGCCGAAAATCTGATCAAATTATTTGGAACGAGTAAAAACTCTCAGCAAGGCTGTCTGATAGAATTCGCAATTTTGAAAACATTGCTACACAACTTTCCGGCTTTTTACAGCCTTTTTAAATGGCCTGTATCAAAATCTACAGAATCAAAGTGTGCTGGTTCGCTGCTAAGCTAAGTTCTTACCGATCCTACAGCAATTGAGAGCGATGGGTGATTCGTACCATACTAAAAATCTAAGTTGTGGCCTGCTTTATTGAATGGTACTTGCAACCAAGCAAAATGCTTTCTGAAAAGAGTGCTATTAACTACCAAAGAGTGAGCACTTACTCTTGGGACACCTTGTACATTAGGAAGAAGGCTACGCTTCATGGCTATTGGTGCGTAAGTAGCGTTGAGATAGAGCTCCACCATAAGAACCGCACTTAGCGCAAGTACAACCGTGAAGATTCACATAAGTTTTCCAAAATTTTTGCTTAATTTTTGAAGTGGTATATATTGGGTGTTCTAAATCGTGCCTTTTTTAGACTCATCCTCAAATCAATCAATACAAAGACAGACAAACACTCTAGTCCGGAATCCTTTGATGTTCGCTTGAAAACGTCAGATTCTTCATCCTATAGTTCTTAACCGCCCTAACTTTGCTTTTTTTGAATTTTCGTTCTAGACTTTGAAGAAGCTTTAACAACAGTTAGATAGAGTAAACAACATGTAATGTAGTACAATTTTTTTGGCATCGATAGCTGGTTTTACAAATTTTCTAAAATTGTCATCTTAATGCTATCATATTTGATATTTGTTTACCCCAAACCTCGTAGAGCATCAGACACTCTGCTAAGGAGTCGTTCGACGTAGCTTCGTTTCCTCTTCTAGTCAGATGTCCTTTCTTTCTGATTCTTAAAGGCTTCAAAGAAAAAATTGCCATAATTCTATTTTTTTGATACTTCTCAGACTGCATGCGAAATTTCAAAAATCAGATTTTGACAGCTTAGAAACACGTTTGTCTGCTGAAATTAGTGTTCACATAATTTTTGGAAGTCCAAATTCGCGAAGATTCCGTAGTGTTTGAAGCGTTTGTACATTTTACGACCTCACTAATGTGGAGACTCATGGAAAGCTTGTTTTTAAAATATTGAAAAACCTGACGATACCAAAACACTAGCTTTGTAGCAGCTTGTTCGCTCTATTCAACTATTATCAAAGCTTTTTCAGGAGCCCAAAACAAAAATTTCAAAAAATAGCTAAGCTTAGGGTACGTTAAATGCAGTTGGAGATTGTGGCGATTATTTGAAAGAACAGTAAAGGAATCCGAACAATCATATCACTGCTGAGAAAAACAAATTTTCCAGAACGGTGCTTAGAGTGTATGTCTGTTGTTTTTCTGAATGATTTGAGAATAGATCTAAAAAACGGCACAAACTTACAGACCCACGTAATAGTAACATCTTGGTCCCAAAACTCCTTCTCTGCTCCTTATTAGAATGCGGAAAAGCAAGACGCCGGTTTTTTTGAGGAGAAAAGCGCGCTCCAACGAACAACCTACGCAGCTGGTGAGATCAAGTGGGAAATCGTAATAAAATCGACAGTGGCAAAAACGAAGTCGTTTCAGATGTTCATTTGTCACCCTCGTGCTAGGCCCTGATACCATATTGGAGGCATAAAAAACACTAATTTTACTGCATTCTTTAGCAGCGACACGTTTATGAACGAGAAAGCATGAGCGTTTTTTGGAGCGAAATTGGGATGTGCACGTCGGACAAAAATAGTCGTAGTAAGTTTTTTAGTGCTTCAGTGGAGCAATGAATTATCAGAGTACTTTATTCAGTAAAAATTCTAAGATTAGAATAATTTTCACACTTGACGGTGCTTTATTTGAGGACTAGTAAGATTTTAGCAACTCATTTTATCGTAAACTAGTTGACTTACCCGGCTCCGCCCGGCCCTGTCATTATTATATTTGTAATCAGCATGCTCGATTACCCCCTGTGCCGATTTCCAGCCCCGTAGCTCAAATTTTGCAAAAAATCGATAAAATCGATATCGATCGATGACGAAAAGTAGCCCATGACACCCGCCGGACCCCGAAGTGTATGTGTGCCAAGTTTGGTCCGGATCGGTTCAGAAATGGAATTTTCTATTCGGAACATACGTACACACACACAGGCAGGCAGGCAGACAGACAGACAGACAAACAGACATTCAGCTTTATATATAAGATGCACATTAATCTTTTGCTGCATACGCTCATAGCTCCTCGTCAAGGAGTGTTCTGCAAATAAAAATACGGATTTGGAACGTTTTCTGCTTTCTTTGTAAGTAAAGAAGTAAGAGTTGAGCTATTAGTGGATGTTACTACTTGTCATTGAAAACGGCTTTACTAACGGCTTTTAACGGCATTAGAAATCAAGAGCTCCTTCGAGAGAGTACAACTGTTCTGTGCAAAGCCAAGGTAAATTTTA